GACGCGTACGCCTGACGAGACGCGTAATAGTAAACCGAGAAAAATAGTCGCTATTTCTGATGTCGTCGTCATTCGGAATATATAATTATACCTGCGGGAGGATGTGGACATGCACATATGGATTCTCGGCGACTCTCTCATGAGAGCGCTCATTAATTTCAGCACTTATGTTACGCAGGCGGTTGTCGAGGCCGAGGGAATTTCGATCGAATCGGACGAGACCTACCTCATTCAGAGAAAATCATCGCGCGTGCCTTCAGATCAAACGGATTGTCACATGATTACTCTCAAGGAGCAAATTGATAATCGAGAGCGCGCTTTTCTCTTGTCACCTCATGTTTTATTTAGATTCGTTTTGCACAATGTAATGTAGGAGATAAAGTTAAATTGTGTTTTCTCTATCGCTCGACGGTAATTAACGTTTCTATGCGAGAATCGATGCGAGATTCGTTATCCCCGAACGCGACTCTGACGCAACAAATCACCTTCGCGTGATTAGAAATAATTCTAATTCGTTATCGCGCGATAAGCCGCTCGCCGAATATCGAAGTGTTGCGATCGAAGATCTAACAGCGGATCCACTTGGCGGATTCTAGACGTTCACCCATCGGCAATGCAAATTGCAGGCCTTGCCCGGAGGTTCGGTATTAATTCCGTTCACATTTCGACACGCCACACGTGGCGAAGGTTAAACCTAATCTAAAATATCCGGCAGCCCACTTCGCTCGCGGCCCTTCAGGCTGTCTCGGCTGTTGCTCAATAATAGCAATGGGAAAATTACGCGTGTTGAATTATGATATATCCTCTTGGGCAATAAAACTCAATAATCTCATAAGCATAAGTATATTCGCAATAATATGACAAATGACAAATGAACTTCGAAAGAAAAAAAATTGTTGAAAATTATTATTTCCTATCTTCTTCTACCTTACAATTGCCACAGAAATATATTATAGATACCGTATTATTATAAAATAATGCGCGACACTCACCTGTAGGGAAGTGTCCTCGGGATGTAGTAGTGCCAGCTGCCTAACTCGTTCCTCAAGCAGGTTCACGAGGGTCGTGTACCTTCGGTTCAGCGTATCTAGATCGCGCGCAACATTATCGACCGTAATAACGGAATCTCTCCGCGGCCTCTTCACCGATGCATCCAACGACGGGCAGATATCTTCCAATTGTTCTTTGAACGCTCGGAGCCTTTGCCCGTAGATCTAGGGGTTTTCCGGTTAGTCCGTTATGGTTAGTGCAATTAGATCGGTGTGTGCGGCAATTACCGTTAGCGACTCCGAAAGCGACAGCGAGAGACGAGGCGTTGAAACCGCCGCGCGCGGAGTTATCGCGCGGCATGCGATCTTTGCGATCTTTCGACAACCCAATGTGGTACTTACGGTAAATAGGTGCGTTAATGGTAGCTGTCGGTTACGCTTCCGTGGGTTACGTTATTAATCTTAAACGCGTTTGAAATCAATTTTGGGACTATTTCGTAGTCGTGCCAAGGACAAGCGGCGATTAATGAAAATCGCGCTGCGATTAATATTGATAAAAAGAGAGACTGGGAATATGCCTAATTTTTTACAAAAATTTGTATCTTCGCAAATTTCCCCATGTATTAATCGGCCAGGCTCCACTTCACTGCTGCGCATGCCATACCTCACTGGGTTATCTGTGATTCCAGCGGCTCCGGGGAAATATCAATCGTAATTGTGTTAAGCGTCTAAGCAATATGCAATATCTAGAATTTATAAAACTGACACTATGTCGCCGCTAAACGAGGTCGTGCAGCTCATTCAACCGTGCTTCTGATGTAATTGTGTTAACGAGGTTGCCATTAAGGTTAAAAAGGAGAGAAAGGCCAGTAATATTACAAATGCGCGTTGCTTTTAGATCGTATCGTCTCCCGTTACGTTACATAAGTGAGTATATTTACTTAATGAATGACAGTTAAGATAGTTCGTGCCGTTTAATGGCACGGGGCCCGGACGCAAATAGAGAATTTTATCGTAGTTAGAAAACTGACGTGACATCGCCGAGAAGACGTGGAAAAAGACAGCAGGCCGAAAGGTTCTCGACTGTAAAGGAACGTTCATCTTTATACACAGCAGATGTAACGCGTCCCGGTGCGTCTTGCGACTGCTCGCTTGATACTCCAGAAAAAGCGGCCACTTCGATGAAAGGCTAAATAAGAAAGATTCATCGCGCGTATAATTTCTGAAAAACCTCGCATGTGCGCGCGCGCGCGCGCACGCGGAGGTACGTAGATCAAATAGATGAGTGATGAGACCTGTATGTATGTAAGACACACGCAGAATTCCATTCATGCAAGCATTCACACCGTAAGCTAAGGCTACCTATAAGGCTTACTAGCACCGAATTATACATTACGGTCCGTATATTCTCACCTTTCCCTCGCGGATCAATCTACCGCCCGTGAGATTCACTGCCTCGATTGCCGGCGTGCGATCCAACACTTTGCTCAACAAATTCTGAATTCATAAGAATTCATAATTTTAACAATCTCAAATTAATACAAACGTGTAAAAAATTAAATCATCTCGAAATCGTTCTACCTTAGTGTTCTCCAGCTCAAGTTTTCCGTAGGATTCATCAACAAAGTCCACCTCGTTCTGATACGAATTCTGATATTGTTGCGCGAGTCCGTAAGCTGTCTCGGCGCTGCGCAGTCTGTCGACCAGTTGTCCGCAAACATTTGTCCATCGTACGTTTAACTTGTTGACTTCAGCGTCCAGTCTGTCCATGTCGCCGTGCGGACCACGATGATTCGGTCTCGACTTCTCTACGAGACGCCTGGCGTTAAGTGCATCCTCGTTCAATTGATCCACCGCTACTTGCTGCTGCGCGATAGCATTCTGAAGAACCATCAGATCCTCTAATACGCTTTGCAAGCCCTTCACGTCCGACGGTAATTCGCCGAAGGAGGCCAACTTGATCTCGAATTCGGAAATGGCTGTTGTGTTTTCCTCGAGACTGGAAAGTACGATCTCGACACACTTCAAACGCTCAATGTACAAAGTACTCAGATTCCACAAATGACTCCATTTGGTTGTAATATTATCGAGCTTATTCCTCATCACTGGAGTTTTCAAAGTGATTCCGCGGAACGTTTGCTGTATTTGTTCTACGTCTGGCGTCAAGCGACGCAGGTTCTGTTCGAAGTCTTTATGTTGAAGCACTAAATGTTCCAGACTGTCGAGATCTCGAGGTAAGGGCGCAGCTATGCGAGCGTTCAGAATTCGCTCAGCTTCGTCAAGAGCTTGTTGAAGTGAAGATGCTTGATCGTTGAAAATGCGCCCGGCGTTCTTTGATTCTTCCTCGGCCCTGGCGCGTTTTTCGAAATCGTCAAACAATCGATTGACATCCGCCATTTCTCGTTTCAATCTCCTGAGTTGCGGATCAGCTGGATCTCCCTCAGATAGCAATTTATCTGCATCTTCATTCAGCGCTTTTCTAATGGCGGTACGTTGATCCTGTCCCATTGCCAAGAATTGCGGCAGATCCCAACCCTTGACCACTTTGATAGTCGCGAATATCATATTTTGTCTTAGTCTCAATTGTTTTCGTTGCCAGAGAGCAACACTTCTGTCATATTGTCGTCTCAGTCTTTCCGCAGCATCCAATGCTTCCTTATCGGGAGGTTGTAATGCGAAGCAGACGCCGGGCACAGGAGATTCCACACCCTGCGTATTCTTGACGCGCCACTTAACTCTGCCGGAATTATCGTACAATGTGCACTGTTCTCCTTTGTCGATAGACATCTGCAAAAATAATAAAGATAAGAAATATATATTCAAATATAACATATTTTTCTATGTTAGAAATACATTAAGTAAATAATACTAACATTGACTTGTTTGTAGGTACAGATACAAGTGACTTGCAATGGTCGCATAACAGGTTGCTTGCGTTGCTTCATGGGAACGATATCCTTTGCTCTTTCCACGAGTCTTTGTACGTGATCGCCGTAATTATTAAGTTCCTCGCGCAACTCTTGCATGCCCTTCAGTAGTTGCTCTCCTTCGTCCAATGAGAAATCAGATTGTGAGTAAACGGTATTTAGAGTTTCATCTCGTTTAGAGATCCACTGTTCGGCCTGCTGAATGTCTTTGAAGAATTGCTGATTTTGCGCGGCATGTTTCAGATGCACCTCAAGACAGAGGGTGAGTTGCAGTAGCCAGGCCCACTGAGTTTGCATCGCGGACATGTAGGCTTCGATTGTTTTCGCTGCAGGATGATGTTGTAGAATTAATGCCTCACCGCGATCTTGCACTGCCGAAAATTGTATCTCACGTTTTTCCAAATCGCTCATCAAGGACTGTAAATAAATAATAAAATGCTTTGTTAGTATTTATAAAAAATATCACAATATTAAAAAGTTTAAATATGTAGATTCATAATTAAAAATAAAAATAAAAAGGAAGATCTAACAGAATACATAAGCATTTTATTCAATATTTTACCTCTATGCCGGATCCATAAGTTTGCTTTAGAAAGAAGAAATCTCCAATTTATTAATACAATTTAATTATAGAAGACTTATATATTAATAAAGATAGCGTATACATTGTTACATTGTACATTATTCAACGACTAACCTCATAATATTGTTCGATGCTGTGCACATTGAGGTTTTTGTCGCTCCAATCGCGCGTGACTTCTGTTTCCTCTTTGGCATTCAACCAAACCAGCTCGTTAGTCGCTGATTGTATAAAATCGTGCAGGGTCTCTAAATCAGAGAGTCTCTTATTCGATAAGGCAAGAAGCTCGGCATAAAGTTTCTGCAAAGTGCTGAGATGTTGGCTGTACAATGTGAGTTCTTCGCCATGGAAATTGTTCTTCGCTTGTACGCACTTATCGACCTTGGTCTGGAACTGATCAATATTCTTGTGCTCTCGATGATGTACGTCCAATTCATTTTGCACGCTGGGCAAATCCGAACCGTAATCCGCTTCTTGCAGATGCTTCAATTTACTCTTGCACCAATCTATGCAGTCGTGCAACGAACGGAAGTGTGGATTGGTATCGACCAATCGCGTTTCATGGACGGTAGTGCGGTGTTTCGTGACAACACGCTCTTCTACACCGAAAGAAACCGCAGAGAGCGGTTGTACTAAACGTCTATGCAGGAGGGATCGCAGTACAACCCATTTTTGATGCAATTTCTGCACTCTGAAACACAAATAGACATATGTCATTAGTCAACAGGCACATTAATTCGTATTATTTTAGTCTAATGTTATTTGAAATACCAATGTACATTATTGGCAACGTTATTAATATTGACATGCATTAAACTTGAATGTAAAGGCAATCAGGTTTAGCAGGATGTTTAAACATATTCCGAGATGTATGGAAAGTTGCTGTAAACGTGCACAACTTGATTTTCGAAAGCTGCCGCCGCAGCGATGGAAAGCGCGCTAATATTTCGCTCACTAGCAAAGATTACGAGAGTAGAAACAATGTAATTGTGCAGTTGAGAACAGAAGAGGCACGCACGTTACACGCGGATGATTCCTAATTGCGTATCGATATTCCAGAGCGTGAATTTTTTCAGTTCATTATAACACGGAGGATAAAAATCCATATCTTACCGCTTGTGTAATTCAGGTGCCTGACTGTATCTACCCTCCGTCAGGGTGTGCACATCGGTGAATATATTCTGTATCTGGGTTTCCGTATTGTGTATGTCCTTTTCCAACAGGTCTACAGCGTCTTTCGCTTCCAAAGGATGAAGGCGATCGAGCCTACGTGCCTCGTCTTCCACGCGTCTCTCGAGCTCGTCCAATCTGTTGTCGGTCGTTTTCATCTCGCGGTGCACTTTCTCGGCGAGTCGTTGCAGACGTTCGAGTCTTTTGGTGCATAAAGATATGTTTAAAGAGACACGCACACGTGCACGATTGGTTTATATTACGATATTACGTAACTGACTTACCGTTTAATTTCGACTATGATAGCCTGCTCACGCTCCTGATGCAACATTATCAGGCGATTCCAGTTTTTGTCGATGACGTCAATATGTAATTCCGGTTCCATGTCCACCTCGCCCACGGCTTCGAAGTATTTTTGCAGATCTCGGAAAATGTATGTCAATCTTTGTTTGTCCCTGTACCGCGGCGGTACTTCCTCGTTTTTGAACTTCGTACTGTCCGCCGCTAGTTTCTTCATCTCGATCAAGGTCGGCGGAAAGGATCGCTCCTGCATGAGGGCCATCTTCTCGCGGATCCACATATGAAGCGAGCTTGCGAGCTCGCGATACTCCGCGGACCGTCTTTGCGCCTCGGCATCGTATAGAGGGTGAATAGCTGGCGGCTCCGGGAACACGTCGTAGAGCGAAGAGATGTACGTTATCAAGGACTTCTCGTCCGGTTCGGGGGTATCAACATCTGCGCAAAACACACAAAAATCCTCATATAAATCACGCGACGTTACAGAAAATATAAATGAACGAATTACATCTGACTAGTTTCTTTTAAACCATAAATAAATTCTATATTCATGATTTTTTTCGTAAAAAGAAAAATTATTTTCTTATTAGCGTTAATAAATGTTATCAGATAAAACTTATTTGCGTTCATCTCTATTGAAAAACTTAATCTAATCTAAAAACTTAATAACTAAAATTTATCATACGTCTTAAATTAAATTGTGGATATCTGTGGATATATTTCGCTTTTCCTTGCAACCTGATATCAATGTCAGATACCTGCGAGACGCAAGTATAGAAAGTATAATTACGATGACTGCCGATGGCGCGACGTTACGGTGTACGAACCGAGACCGGAAGCGATTCTGGTCAGGTAACCGTGACCAGAAAGAACGCGCACCGCCACCACGCTAGAACCCGCGGAAACTGTACTTCACGCAGGCGTACATAAACGAGAGAAACACAGGTAGGGCAGTACTCGTGAAAGGCATCTTTATAAAATGAAACCACAAGAGTGACCCAAAATAATGCGACGATAAAAAAAGAATAACGCATCCCGATTGTAAATCGACCAACGTCTGTACATCCGCAAAGAATCTATATAAAAAAAAAAAGTTTTGCTGAAGCATCTAAAAATTTAGCCAAATATAAAATAATCTGAACAAATTTTTAAATATTTCTACAAAATTATTATAAAAATATATCTTTTTTAAAAATTGATTAAAAATATTGGACAATATTTATTGTCTGAGAACTATATATAAAATTTCTACAAAAATACATGAAAATTATTTGACCATCCATAGAAAATTTATTAATATCTCACATGTATGTACGCGTGTATGTCTTTCCCGAATAATAACATTTAAAAACAAAAAAATGTTTATCGCCAGAAGTCTTTCTGAAAGAATTTATATAAACCTATAAATTTGTTAAAATCTGGCGATAAATATTAAAAGAACTGACGCGGAACAAATAGTGCGCGAACCTGGCAAGTTCTTAGTTTGTTCTGGAGTAAATTCTGTATTTTAACGACCAGAACGATTTATTTAACCTAAAAACATAGAACTATGAATAGAGCTAAAAATAAAACTGGGAAATAAAACTGGAACTCTCAACAGTTAATGAGCTCCCACAAAATAATTCGCCAGCTTCACACACACACACACACACACACCAATTTCCAAACGGTTTTACAGAGGCAACGGAGGCATTTCAGTTTGGCATGCTTGATTAGATCGTTAATCGGTCATTACCTTCTGGATCGAGAAGCCTCGTAACGCCGTACTCGCGCTCGGCGACGAAGAAGACCCGATCGAGCCGCTCTCGCGGCTGACTCGCACGCGCGGTTCTCCAGTCGACCAGATCCGGCCGGTTCCTGTGGAGAAGAGCGCTGAACGCCAAGCCATCTCTCCAGGAACCGGTGAAATCGGTCACCCGTACCCCGGGATATCGAGCGGTCGATCGTCGGGCCCATCTCAGGAGAGCCTCGCGCGCCGTCACGTTCGGTTCCTGACCAACCACTATGTCCGATATCTAGAAAAATAGAAAGAGCACTGAATGAGATATTTTAAACGAGACATGCAGATCAAAATTTCTTAAAAAAGTATATGGCATGAAAATCGATACTTTGGTTCGCCCTTCGATGCGTCAATTTTTCGCTTTTGCGACAAGGAGTGGAGAGATTGTTACGACATAACAGGCTGGCTGCAATAGTTATTTCTAAACTAAAGTTCCTTGAAAATAGTCTTTGTAAAAATCTTTGATTAGTAATACTCGGCGAACACTTAATGCTACATTCAAAAGCTATATATGTGCCGGTTTGATTTAAAATTACCAAGCATAAAATTGTGGGCGTTACGTAACGCGTATTTCTAATCTTCCATCGTTCTATTTTCTTAGTTGGACGTTAATGCAAACTGAAAGCTGCAACCTTTCAAGAACTATTGACATTTTGCTTAGCAGCCAACGCCGGGGAACATTGGTCATGGCATTAATCGTGCGATTTAAGGTATCGATTATTAAATTTTAATTTTCTTTATCCTGCTTCTTATCCTTTATCGCGATATTCACAGCGTATTGTGTATTTTAAACCCTCGCGTTGGCTTTTACAGTATAATTCTATAAAAGCATCGCGTGGAATGTGTTATTTAGGATAAGAAATCGAGTTCTCACGTCATAGTTGAGTGCCATGAGTTATCTTATCTCGCATGGATATATGTTATATATATATATATATATATATATGTATGTGTGTGTGTTGTTGTGTGTGTGTGTGTGTGTGTGTGTGTGTGTGTAGCATACCGCGCGAATGACATCTTCCTACATTCTCCGACTTACACATATTCAGGTTATCGGTTAACTGTTACTTAACACATATTTATTACGTTTACGTCAAGTTCACTGAACCAACAAAGTCGTTTTGCTTAATGCACGTAAAAAAAAAAAAACGGCAGCCGATAAACGCAGTGGCTGTTCGGCTGTGAATAAAATCATTCAGAAGAAGCTACGCTGTTTTAATAATAGCACACAGAAACTTTTTTGTCGTGAGAACGTAACGTAAACTCCGATAAACTTGTCTTTTTATTTCCAGCCACGTGCTTCGCCTTTCATTTGATTTTAATAAACCTCAAGTGTCTCGTAATTAACGCAAGGAGCCTCGCAAATTCGCGGTATTAGTCAAGCACTTCGTGCTCGAGCTGCCCTGCGCAGGCGTTTAACGATGAAGCAAGCTTCGTCGCCTGGCTAGCCATCAAACTCGCTCAAGTAGCAAAATAATGGAGACAAATTACGCTACACTGGCAATAGACTTGACATTGGCATTAGCGCTTAAATCGAGATCGCGACCGTTTGAGATCGTTGCCATTGGCATTGATAAAAGGCCGGCGTTAGTATTCAGGTCATTCGCGCATTTTCTCGCGCTCGCGTGCGAGATGCGCGCTGTTTGGCGAGATGGGCTGGTGCCATCTGTTTTCACCGGCCTACGCAATTCGCAGCAACAGGTTGCAAGGAGGAATGCCGGCGTGAACCGGCATTCGATTATCGCGCGATTTAATTTACTGAAGAGCGAGCGAGATGCGGAACCACCGCGTGAGCCACATGTCGGGGATGTGTGACGCGGCTATAATTCCGAGAACATTTGGCAAATCTCGTCCGTCACGATTGAGTAACATCGAAAGCGGTATCGACAAATAAGTAGAAGCCACTTTTTTCGTCGACTTTCATTCTTCGTGCCGCCTCGGCCAACGCGACAGAAACGTGTCCCGTCCGCAACGCTTGGGGCGCGACGACGGGGAAAATCGTCGCCTCCTTCGCGGGTTAATCGCAGGGACGAAATAGCGGATTAAGTAGAACGGTAATAGAGCTACGTGACCACGAGACCGAGGCGAGCGTATCGTATCCGCTCTAATTCTAATTAAGATGACGCATCCGTTGCAACGGGAGAGAGAGAGAGAGAGCGCTTCTTTTGGTTTAAGTCGAACGCTTTTACAATGAATTTCAAATGCAAATCTCTCTCCCGCTCGAAATGTTCATGGAAACATCACCATGCTCGACTTTGTTTCAGCTATGAGTGCATCTCTTAAGTGAATATCTCTTCGATCCACGAAGATATTCTTTGGAGATCGACTTGTCGACTGTCCTCTTAAATTAAATAAAGGTTTATCCTGAGAGTCTAAAATAAGCACAAATTCAAGACTTAAAAATTCAATTCTTAAAAACTAACTATAATTATTATTAATTAAAAGTGCGCGTTGTGGCTTTGTGAGTTAGCGCGAGACTCGTCAGAGGTCCAGGATCCCGATCTCGGCCGAGAGAATATTTACAAGCAACAGCGGCGCTTCTCTACGAAGGTCTGGCAAATCGCCTAGAGTAACTCTGCCTAGAGTAAGAAATCCGTATATTGGCCGTTCGAAACCGGTGTAAAACTGTAAGTTCCATATATCCGTATTAACAACACGCGCATCATGGATATAAGCAGAGATAGCCAAAAGCTGTCGGACAACGTCGAAAGACGTTCTAAACCAGCTTATAGATATGTAGATACAATATCCGATGCTCGTACGACGCATTATCAACATATCAATTTCGTCGCGGTGAGGACTGCGTTGCATGATTCGTGCAATAACTCAAAGACTTGGCATATCGCGTAAAAATTTTCTTATCCGCGAACGTCCCCATGGAAACATTGTCGAGAGAACAGTGGGAGGTTTACCATGGCGCGACGCGTTATCATATTTGCGAAAAACCATTTACACCGGACGACGCAAATTAATTTTTATTTTAGGGACAAATTGAAAACATTTAAACTACAAATTTAAACTACAAATTAATTATTAAAGATATTAAATAATGCAAAGGCTATGAAACAATTGCCGCAAATTCCTCTCAGTAAAATCGGACGAGTGGAAGAAAAGATTAGCCGAAGTAAAATATTTTCTTGTAAATAAATATGATATTGATCTAAGATTTTCCTTTTAAAAATTATGGAAAGAAATTATTAATTCGAAAAAAAAATAAAAATTCAAAAATTTATTTTAAGCAAATGAATTAATATACTGAAAAAAATCCTGCACACTGCATCACGGATAATTTCCTTAGGAATATTCGTGCCAAATTTTAAAATTCAATCGGTTCAATTTTATTGGTTTCGAAGAACTGCTGCTACGAGACTCGAAAAAACAGCAGAAGAAAAAAAGGACTTTTTTTTCATAAAACAAAATGAAATTTTCTTATATCTCTACTCTGATACTCTTATATATCTTCTCAAGACTTCAAGGAACTTTGGAAAAGTGCAAAAAATAAAAAGTCGACTTTTTGGAATTTTCAGAACGGAAGCAGACTCCTCGATACACCAGCGCAAGCGATGGAACTGCCCAACAATTTTCCACGCGGGATGTACGCTTACCCGTACGGTTTTCGGTTTCCGAGTCGGATACCGAGTTATGGTCTTCGTCGACGAACTGGCATCCTGCAGATACCTAGGCTGAGCTCGTTTCGTCAGATCCTCGGCGACGCTGCGTTCCTCGCCGCGCGTCAAAGTCGTGGTCTTGCGGACGATGCGAGTAACGATGCGCTTCGTGCCATTCTCACCGCGTCTCGACGTCTTCGTCGATTCGATCGACGAACCTGTGCGCGTGCGACCGAGCGATACAGAACGATCGAAAACGGAGTCGTTAAGCAAGAGAGTCTCGTCACGATCGGACTTGGGAAAGGATTCGTCTGACAGTACTTTAAAGTAGCAAAGCTAATTGCTGCTTTCTGGTCTCTACAAAAGCAACCAAGCAACCAAGATGCAACATTGTCTGAACACGCGTTCGTCAGTTAACTAACAAGGAAATATTAGCCATTTAACTTCGCGAAGTATGGCAAACTGCAATCAAATTTAATACGAACGAGGTGGAGGAGTCTCTTTAAGTCGCGATGACGCAACGGTTTATTATACCTCATTGAGAAAGGACAACCGGCCGGAGAAACACCAGAGGGAAACAGCATGCCGTGTATCGATGCTAGCGATATCGGCGCTATTGCAACTCAAAATCGGAGATAATTACAATGCGAATTTCTTAGATCATACCGCGAGCTACATATTCTATTATGTAACGTTTGATTTTTTTTTTATCTCCTGGAGAAGCGAGTCCTGGTTGCGCGGAGACGTGAGAAAATATACGTTTCGCAATTTCTCATTGTCTTCGTAAAGACCAATTAGCCGGAGATTACAATCACCATTCAGCGAGATTTCAGCTGATTGGTAATTAGTACCCGCAAAATCATCGCGACTCCTCGCGGGTCAACTTCTAACCTCGTGCAATCGTCAAACGAACCACTCTCTCTCTCTCTCTCTCTCTCTAGTGACTCGAGACGTGATCGTCAGAAATTGAATCCTTTCCCTTCTCGATTTACCGCACGGGAAGAACACCTTTGCTGGCAAATCTAAAAGTTTGTCCAGATACAAAGATAATTTTGTTGGGCCTAAGAAATTACTACGTACGACGTTCAAATTGGTAGCTAGAGGACCAAAAATTTTTGCAATATTATTATTACGTTTGACGGTCTTACATAATAATTTTGGAGGTTCAAGAAAATTATTTTCTGAGATCTGTATCTGGCCAATTTTCTTTTTTTTTTTTTAGTATTTGCCAGCAGAACCGTTCTCTCCGTGTACCTAAGACTTCGGTCGACAATCGGCGCTTCGTGTGTATCGCTTGTAGATCGTCGGCGGTCCGCGATCCCGTTGGGCTAGGTGAAACGCCATCACGATCCGTCGTCCCTCCTCGTGCCTTGCACGAACAGCCTGCCCCCCTTGCTGAACCGATAGATCGACATTTTCGTCGGATCACGAGGTGTGGATCACGAGACGCGCGCGTAACGTACGAAAGCGCACGTGCGTATCGGCCTTTTTTTCTCCTTCCCTCGGAGGAATCGCTATCGGCTCTTGTACGTTTTTAAACCGCCGGTCGTTCGCGAGCTGCAATTGTCGTTCATTTACATATGTGTACATCGCACACCGCGTCGCCGTACCGCGCTCCAAACCGCTC